TAAGTATACTGAAAATAGATCATTGTAAAAATTAAGAATGGAAAACTGAGAGGGAGAGGGAGGAAAGATTGGATCGTGGGTCAGAGAGATTGTGGGGGAAAGTCCAACTATATTTCTAAACCTACATATGGTAAATATATGAAACATGTATATCAAATAAAACTTAAAAAAGAATAAAATAAGCCATGGTCCAACTAACCAAGAAAAAAAAGGGAGGACAACTAAATTAATAAAATAAGAGATTAAAAATGAGATGATACAACTAATACCAAAGAAATATAAAGAATCATTAGAAATTATTATAAATAGCTACTTTTTTAAAAAAATTGGAAAAGTAGAAGACATGGATAGATTTATGGACATATAAATATTACCAAAAATGAAATATGAAGACACAGAAAACCGGAATAGATCAACAACCATGGTTGAGATTTAATCATTAATAAAGACCTCTCAACAAACAAAAGCCCAAGACCAGATGGCTTCACTGCTGAATTCCACCAAACTTTTATGGAAAAATAATAGCAATTCTTCTTAACCTCTTCAAAACAATTAAAAGGGAGGGAATCCTTCCAAATTCCTTCCTTGATGCAAGCATCATCTTAATTCCAAAAATAAAGATACAACAAAAAAGAACTGAAGACTAATACCTTTGATGAACACAGATGTAAATATACTAAACACAATACTAGTAAATTGAATCCAACAAAAAATAAAAAAATATTATCCATCCAAACCAAGTGAGATTTATCCTAGGGATGCAGGGATGGTTCAACATACTCAACTCATTAAGCATGATACAGCAAATCAACAAAATGAAAGATTAAAAACAGGATTATCAACAGATGCAGAGAAATCATTTGACAAAATACAACATCTTTTCATGAGAAAAACCTTTAAAAATATGGATTTAGAAGGAATGTACTTCAACACAATAGAGGAAATATATGACAAACCCACAAGCAACAGCATATTGAGTAGAGCAAAGTTTGAAGCATTTCAACTAAGATATGGAAGCAGACAAGTTTGCCTACTCTTATCACTATTATTAAATATAGTTCTGGGTGATTTAGACAGAATCAAGCAAGAAAAGTAGTCAAAGGGATAAAAATTGGAAAGGAGGAAGTCAAATTATCCCTGCTTGCAGATGACATGATCCTTTATATAGGAGAACCAAAAGATTCTACTAAGAACCTGTAGGAACTCATAAGAGAATTTGCCAAATTTGCAAGATATAAAATCAACACACAAAAATCAGAAGTATTCTTATACACTAACATGTAATGGTTGGGAAAGATTTCACAAGATCACTTCCATTCTACAAAATAGTTTAAATATTTTGAGATAAATTTAAATAAAGGAATCAAATTTCTCTACAATAAAAATCACAAAATATTAATGAAAGAAATAGAAGACTCCAAGATATGGGAAAATATTCCATGTTCATGGGTGGAAGAATTAATAGCAAACTGCCCGTACTACCCAAAGCAATTTACACATTCAATGCAATCCCAATGAAATTCCAAGGATATTCTTCATAGAACTAGAAAAAAAAATCCTAAAATACAAATGGAAATACAAAAGACAATAAATAGCAAAAGCAAGCTTAAACAATAATAGAAAAGCTGAAGGTATCACAATTTCAAGTTTCAGGACATACTGCAGGGCTATCCTATGAAAATATGGGCCAATGGAACAGAATAGAAACCCTAGAAATTAGACCACGTATCTACAATCAACTAATCTTTGACAGATGAGCTAAAATAATTCCCTGGAGAAAGAAAAGTCTCTTAAACAAATGCTGTTTACACCTGCAGATGTTTGAAATACCACTAGTTTATACCCTATATAAAAATCAACTAAAGTGGATCAAGGATATAAACTTAAGACCTGAGGCCATTAAGCTACTTGAGGAAAACAGGGAAAATGCTGTACGACACTGGCCTAGAGAAAGACTTCTTGGATAAGTAGTACCCCCCAAAAGTACAGGTAATAAAAGCAAAACTAGACAAATGGGACTATAGAGAGCTAAGAAGCTTCTGCACAGCAAAGGAAATAATTAACAAAGTGAAGAAGCAACTGACAGAAAGGGAAAAAAAACACTTGCAAACTATGCATCTGGTAAGGATTAACATCAGGATATACAAAAAGCTCCAGAAACTCAACAACAACAAAACAAACAATGCAGTTAAGAAATTGGTAAAATATAACACTAGGCATTTTTCAAAGAATGAAATACAAATGATCAGCAGATACATGAAAAAAAAAAAAAAGCTAAGCATAAATCACCATCAGGGAAATGCAAATAAAAACCACAGTGACATGTATCATCTTACTCCAGTTAGTTCTGATTTTTGGATAAGAGCTATTCTAACAAATACTAGAAAGGTTGTGGAGAAAAAAGCACCCTAATACACTGTTGGAGATATTGATAATTGATGTAACTATTATGGAAAAGAGCATGGAGATTTCTCAGAAAACCTAAAATAGATCTACCTTATGACCCAGCTTCTTACTTTTGCAAATATATGCAAAGAAAATGAAATCAGTGCATCCAAGAGTTATTCACAATAATATGCAAAATATTATTAAGTGCACAATAGCAACGGCATGGAATGAACCTCTATGCCCATCAACTGATGATCCAATAAAGAACATGTGTGTGTGCAGGTGTGTGGTCTATTTTTCAGTCATAAAAAAGGATAGAGGCTGGCGCCATGGCTCAATAGGCTAATCCTCCACCTAGTGGCACCAGCACACTGGGTTCTAGTCTCGGTAGGGGCGCCAGATTCTTTCCCGGTTGCCCCTCTTCCATGCCAGCTCTCTGCTGTGGCCAGGGAGTGCAGTGGAGGATGGTCCAAGTGCTTGGGCCCTGCACCCCATGGGAGACCAGGAGAAGTACCTGGCTCCTGCCATCGGATCAGCATGGTGTGCCGGCTGCAGCGCGCTGGCAGCAGCGGCCATTGGAGGGTGAACGAATGGCAAAAGGAAGACCTTTCTCTCTCTCTCTAACTATCCACTCTGCCTGTGGGAAAAAAAAAAAAAAGGATAGAATTCTGATATTTACAACAAAATAGATAAAAATGGAGATCATTATTCTAAGCCAGTCTCAGAAAGACAGACATCATGTTTTCTATTTGCGGAAATTAGTATAGTGTGTAATAATTCTGTGGATGTCATATCATTTGGTATATAGTTGCTAATATTGCTTAGTTGACTCATATCATGTAAATGACAATATACCCTTCTTTCCCCATGTTATGATGCTTGTCATGAATTCCTCAATTTATGATATTACTCTCTACTTTAAAAAATAAAAAATAAAAAATAAGAAAGAAAATAAACCACATGCAATTTATCACAATGATTTATCTGTTTGATGAGCAATCCCAGATTATTTCTATTTTCATATGGAACAAAATCTATCAGATGGTGAATAATCTCTGATCATGAAACATCAGTGATTAAGTCTATGAAAGAAGCTTATTCAGAGAAGTGGTGATGCTGCCTGTCCCTACTAATAAAGCTAACACCATAGGAAATACCTCAGGGTAACAGCAATGATGACGATTATTCACTGCATTCTTATAATATGCCAAGTGACCTACAAATGGATCATCTCATGGAATATCTCCTATCATACTCATGAGGTTAGTACTATTATTTCTTCCATTTTAAAACTTAGAAAATTAATATTTTGAGATGTTAACACAGGCTGAACACAGACAAATATGATTCAAACCCAGGCAATGTGGTTCTAACTCAGCTTCTCAATTACTACTTACTGTCTCCTAGTGTTAAAATTATCTCAGTAGTTGAGATAATTAATACTATTTAGTTTTGATTACATAAGATCAGGTTGGCAAAAGACACTAAATTCCCTTCCCAAATATGACAGTTATGCTTCTTAAAACACCTCTGGTAGAATTTTCTGTGGAGGAAGACTTTAAGACCACATTTTAAAAATGGGTTAGGGACCAAAGATTGCAATGAAATTGAGAGATTCCTTACATTAACATTTATGAAAATAAAATAATAAATCAGTCCCTTAATTAAAACAGTAAAATATGTTTCTAATTAATAAACACTCTGCTATTAATCTCTACTTACTAAGCCATGTTTATTAGAAAATGTTTAGACTGCCTCCCACAAAGTTTGCTTCAACACACCACTGCCATTCTTACAAAGAGCCATTCCATATGTGTCTGATCTGATATGTTATTTCCTCATGCCCTTTTTGTTTCTAATTTTATAGTCCCAACACACTTCTTATTGACCAGAAAGTCTCAAAAGAGTATGAGGAAATAAAATCTGTACTCCAGGGTGTCAAGGAAGGGTAACTGATATAAGAGTACTATCCCTGACAGTTATATATACAGGTGAGTACACACGCTCTCATTTCACACAATAGTAAAACATATCCGTCTATTTTTAGGTTAGAGAGTAGTGATTTCCTTATTATCACTGATGTTTTCCTCTTTGCCTCAATTACCTGTGAGTAGATATATTTGGACACAAATTATCTGCTCATCTATAAGATACAACAAGCTATATTTAAGACCTTTAATACCAGGTGGAGGTATAGTGTCAAAAATAACAAGGAGCATTAGGAAAATGATGAGAAACATTCGCCAAAATATTAGAGTAAAACCAGGCACAAAACTAGATACCAGGGCTGGGTACACAAAGTGTATATACAATGAGTATTTTTTAAAAATATACATGTATATGAAGAGTGATAGATGTAATGATGGATGAGTGAATGGATAAAGTAGAAAAATATTGGCTATTTCCAATTTCACAATTTTTCTATGGATTGAATCAGCTATTCTAATTTGATTGTGATATTGCATTCTGTTAAAATCTATATAGCACATTTCTATCCATGTGTGAGGAAAAATAAAAACAAGTCCATAATAACTATCTGTGAAAAGCTAAGGATACTTTTGCTCTGCTACTTTCATACTGTCGGGTTTTAAAACATCATGAAAAGTACCTACCTTGAAAGCTGCATTCTGTTTTTCTTACTTCATCTAAAAAATAAAAAGACATAAAAATCCAATTAAAGTCAATTAAAGCAACACAAATGATTAAAAGGGATGTTTTCTTTATCTTAAACAGAAACTTTTAACTGTGAAGACAGAAATGACGAGGAAACCTTCCCTACCCTCCGCCAGAAAATGCTTTGAATGTTTTGTGCTTTTTTATATTTTGTGATAGTTTGCTTTTTAAAATTTCTTGGAGGTACAGAAATTATTAATGGCAATGAAAATATATAAAGGATATGTTTAGTAAAGATGATAAAACTCAATTATATAAAAGGAAACACTATATTTATTGGCAGCACTTAATCATCCCATGGATGTTTCTCATCATGTAAGATTTTTCCTTGAATTCAGGCAAAAGTATTTTAAGGGGCTATTACAATTTACTTGCAGGTTCTACATTTCTACACTTGAATTTTGATCAAAACTCAGGTTTTGCTTTTTCTCTCTCCTCTCTCCCCTAATAATCTGTTCTCCCTTATGAACCAAATGATTATTGTGTTGTTTATAATAACTGCTCTACATTCCTTATGGAAATTGTAATTATGATGCTGAATATTCAACAGCAAGCCACTTTTCTCGGGGAAATTGTAATTATGATAATACAGTATTTACCCAACCAATGTTTTCTAGTCATTGTTCTCTTTGAGAAATGAGAAGGTGAGAGAAAAACACTGAAAGAAAACATCCTATTGGGATCTCAGCTATGCATTCAAGCAATGATGAATAATAAAAATAATATTTGCCATATGTCAGGCATGAAACAGGTTTACATATATGAATATATCTTTAGTACAGTTATATCTTAATTACACAGGTTTCTTCTTTTAACTCACACAATTTTATGAGGTAAGGAACATTATTATTCTAATTTTATAGACAAAAGACCTGAGGGTTTTTGTTTAGTACTATGATCTGAAGGCCTAGAGTGTGTGATACATCAATACACATAACATTATCCTACTTTTGCTAATATTTTTATGTACATTTAATACAATTTTGCACAAAAAATTCTGTATGGGTAGATATCTGGCACTTAAAATGCTATTTTAGTAATATGTTGAGAAAGGAACTTCCCCCCATGACCCCTAAGTGCTTAAAATGTTTATAGTGTGTGCTTTTATTAAATAAGAAGAAACCAAAGTTTTATAAGTGAAATTAATAAAAATGGACACAAAAATAAAGACAAGTTATTCTATTTTACAATTTTAATGAACAAAACCAAATAAAACTCAAAACCAATAGCTGAAAAATCTTCCTAGGTAAGCCCTAGGCAGGTGAGGCAGTGAATCTGTACAATCATTTCATCTGCCTGCTTTGCTTCTCTTCCTAGATCTCCACAAAGCAGTACACCTAACAAAAGTCCTTTCCACCTGCACTTAGAAGTGATTCGTTTAGGATTTTCTTGAATATGAGTGAGTAGTTGAGCAATACCATGTAGAAGCTCTTTATAGATACACCTTTTAAATTCCATAACAATTGCAACACAGGTATTTTTACTCCAATTATATAAATGAAGACAATGTGTCACACTGAATTAAATTATTTCTCCAGTTTGCTAAGTTGACCTGGGTTCTTTTAACAAGGCAAATTGGTGTTGATAAAAAGAAAAGCATTCAAAAGAAATGCAGGTAAAGACAAATAAAACAAGACATTATAAAGGCAAGAACAAAATATACAAACTATCTATTTATATATTATATATTATACGTACATAATACATAATGTAGCCAAGGGTTTATCATCATGTGCATCTTCAGTGCTTCTGAGACCTAGTCTTAGCCCTCCTCTCAGCCCAAGAAGTTCGTTCAACTCACCATCCTTACACCTACTTTTTGTAAGCCTTAGAACAACCTCTCTGAGTTCCTTTAGTAACACCCGTGTGTCTCAAGGGAGCCACTTAGTAATCCATTTCTGAATTCCCACACATGGAAAGGTTGATGAACTGAGCAGCTGAGCCTCAATTTCAGAACTATACCTCACAGGGTCAACCAGCCACTTGGCTAAGTATGACATTGAGCCTCTTCCACTGTAGAAGAAGTGATTTATTTTGACTAGAACTGAATTCTTAATAAGGGGTTGCCTTACATGTCAGCAGGGCCCTGCTCAGCATTGCAACCCAAGGGCTAGCAGTGTTTGAAATATCAAAATACAAAGCTAGGGGGTGATAATGAGCCATAGCAGGTGAGGCTGCCACCTGCAGTGCTGGCATCCCATATGGGTGCCAGTTCAGGTCCCGGCTGCTCTGCTTCTGATCCAGTTCTTTGCTGTGGCCTGGGAAAGCAGTAAAGGATTGGCCCAAGTCCTTGAGATCCTGTACCCATGTGGGAGATTGGCGGAATCTCCAGGTTCCTAGCTTCAGATAGGCCCAGCTCTGGCCGTTGCAGCCATTTGGGAAGTGAACTAGTAGATGGAAGACTTCTCTCTTTCTCTCTGCCTCTGCCTTTTTATGGCTATTCCTTTTAAATAAATAAATAAATCTTTTTAAAAAATCACAAAGCTGTATACTATCATCCCAGCCCAAAGGAACATCTTTGGATAGCAGTATAGAAAGGTAAATAATGCTTGTCTCCACACATCCCAATACATGTTCATACTGTGTGATCCAGAAGCTGTGAGCTTGGTAAAGTGATGGAACAGCCTTCTGATAGTGCAGCTGCAGTACCAGCTTGGTGATGATATCCTGCAGTAGTGAAGTGACATCCTAAAGGATGTGGTTAACACTCTAAATCAATGGTTATTTTGGGGTACTAGATTCCCCAAAAGACAGAATACATGGACCTGGGAACTAGGTGGAAAAGTGGAAGTGGTCAAACAAGATTACTGCCAGGAGCCCAAGTGGGGAATATATATTTTCTGTTACCATAAATTTAGGTTCTGCGAGTCTAGAAATCATGGTTTTCAGAAGGAAAATGCTTCCACAAGGAGATGCTTAGGACTCTCATTAATCTTTAAGCTACATCCTACAACACATCACTCAGGGTTCTGGAGCCAAGAAACCAGCAGCAGCAGAGTTACCATCAGGTGGAATTCCTGTTTCGGTTGTAAACAACAGCTGCCGGGACACAGTGAGGGCAGGGAAGACTGTCTAGCATCTCCATGACTCATGGGGCATTTCCAAGTACTTTCCAGTCTATATCTGATAGCAAATGGAAACGATCAGTGCCTAAGAAGGGAATGGTGAGGAGGGCCTCAGACCCATTAGTAAGGGTTTGTGTCACTCAACAAGCTAAGCAACCAAAGGCAGTAGAGGTCCTACCTGAGGATGAGGGAATTCCAGAACTGGTATACAGGAGTGAAGAAAACAGGAAGGCAGTAAGCATTAGGCGTGACCTTGAAACCAGCTGCACAGGCAGTTGTTTCCCAAGGATCATCTTCTTACAGGTTTTATTAAAAAAAAAAAAAAAAGTGACCCACCAGGATTCCAGATGAGGTGTTCTCAGATGGGATAAACTTATTGTATGAAGCAAACAATTATGCAGGACACTGCCCAAATCCCCCTTCTCATAAGGCACTCACTACCCAGCACCCGAAGCACTGGCTGCTGAGAGTTCACTCACAGCTGAGCCCTTCCTCCTTCTCTAGGAATTTGCCTCCTTCTACCAGAGAGAACTTCCTTGCCCAAGGTTGTTTACCCTCCCCCAAGCAGCTCCTATCTAATGATTGACTAATATAAGGGTAAAAGACCAGCCCCCTTTATTTGAGACACATAAATATAATGATCCCAAATACACTTCCCATTAAATTTTCTGCATAAAAACCTTTGTCTTAGAGTCTGTGTCTCAAGGATGGTAGCCTAAAGTTAGACTACAAAATACAGAAGGCTTGGACTGAGAATTGAATACAGCTATGTTTGTCTCTTAAATCCATATTCTTCCCATTAGATCTGCCTGCTTCTTATTAAGAACAGTTTCAACCAATTTTCAATAAAATTTTGCCCATGCGGTAGATGTTGTCATCAATGTTATGTTTAAGGCTATAAATCAGAAAGCATTCTTCAGTGTTATACAATATCTGCAATTACATTGCCTTTGGAATATTAAGTTATGTGTATCTTTTGGAATGTAGCCATTTACTGAAATAAATTAGTAGATATATATACTTATAGAAGCATACTATATTAAAATATGTAACATCTCTATGTACATAACATATGATATATATCAAAATTAATTTCCAGATTTCTTGAACTAAAATCCCTAACTATGCTATTTATTTTTAAAGAACAATAAGACACTTTTAACCTATGCCATTTAGTAGGAGGAAGCATACAAGACTTATCTGTTTCAGAAAATGTAAAAGATTAGTTATGGAACAAGGGCTTCCTTACATTTTCTACAATAAATGTAAAGACTTCATCAGGCATGAAATGTAGTCAGAACAATTTACGGTCCAGTAATATATGACTTCAGGCAGCCTTTACAATCAGAACACAGAAGTTACCTAATTCTATGCAGTTTTGAGAAAATGCAGTTAGGATTTTACAACCAGTGACTGGTGCTCTACACTATTCCTCATGAAATTTTGCATCATAAAATCTTTTATTTCAGTAACCAACCCTTAATTTTAGATTGAATCATTACACTTTTCTATTTAAATGCTTGCAGCATTACTGGTTTATTTATTTTATCTCACCACTATACTATATCAAGGGCTTAAACCTGACAAATGTAAGGTGTTTGATGAAATTCCTCTGGCAGAAAAAGACAAGCAAATGTATCCAAAGCTTGCCACAGTGAGGCATAAAGTAGTTATTATATATCAAAGAAACTACTAAGTTTTAATTTTATCTGTGAATTGCTTTAAGTTAGCAGACAAAATATTGACATTTATTGAGAGAAAGGGGTGATGTGTAAAAGTTTTCAATTGTATAACTGCCATAGAAAGCTCCCCCCATAGACGCTGCACTATGTTTCCCATGTGGCTAACCACAGAGCAAATATTTCAAATGAAGCAAAAAGCTAAGGGGGACTTTGCAGCAAGAAGCA